ACTTTCCGACGCTGGCGTGGATCCAGCCAAGTCGTATCCTTGTCGGAGTCCGATACACCTGGCTCCTGGCTGATCCCAGAAGCACCTGGCTCCTGGCCAATCCCAGAAGCACCGGGCTCCTGGCCAATCCCAGAAACACCGGGCTCCTGGCCAAACTCCTCGCTGTCAGAAGGCACCGAAGGCTGCACCAGAGGGGAAGGGCCGGGAGAGAGAGGCCTAGCCATCTCCTCTCCGTCATGTTCAGAGCCTTCCTCCTCTGATGAGAGGGACCCACCGGACGGAGCCACAACACCGGGACTCTCTGCAGCCTTCCTGAGCCTGCTGAGCAATTCAACAGGCCCAGGACATAACACCTCTCCCCCCTGGATAAAACAATAAGTAACCCTTACTGTTATAGTAGCAACATATACATGTGTTCAATTGGCCTTTGTTATTGTTAAACACAATAACAAATTATGCCTGCACACAGGCAGACCCAACCTTGCATTTTATATGTACAAGAATATAGCAAAATGTTTAATACACTGAAATATAACACCCCTTCATTTGAATGTTTGTTTTGCATTTAAAAGAACTAGCAAGATTCCCTCAGGTTTGATAGAAACCTCACATAGTCCTTAAGATGTTTGGGTGGACCCTTGGCCCGCTGTGACCTTCTTATGGCTGGTGTGTGTGCCTGGCCTGCCAGCTCGCCTGCCAGGCTAGGCAGACCAGGACTTTGTTGCCCCAAAGACCCAGAAGACCCACCCAGCTGCTGACTGGCTGGATCCGCTAAATCCAAGCCAGAGTTCCTTGGTGGGGTGAAATTCCCCAAGTCCAGTGGTGGGGTGGAATTCCCCAAGTCCACAATGGACCCCTCTTGGGACCACTGTCCCTCGAGCCCAAGACCAGCAACTGGAGTGTCCTGAGTAGCCGATTTACCCCAATGTCCCATTGCCCCAGTGTCTGTGTGCTGCAGGTGCCAGAGTCAGGAGCCGCCTCCATGGCAAACTCCCCTTCTGGAGCAATAGCTGAAGCCTGTGAATGTCCACTTGGCTGGGCAAACCCCCTGTCAAGCCCTCCCGGGCTCAACACACAAGGAGGGGGAGAACCAGCGTCGCAGTCAGCAAGCCTCCAACGAGCAAGCTGATGAGCAGCTGTAATTGACAATCAGCTGAGGGGCGGCAGCCCGGAGAGCACAGGGCATCACTTGTTCCTGATTAAACTGTCATTTCATGAGTAAACAGCATCAACGGGTGCTTTGTCAACTCACGTTCCGGTAAGGACAGCTGACAGAAAGTTTACGCTCCTACTTTATTTTCTTTTCTGATAAAAGCCTGGTTAGTTTGTCTGCTTTAAACCATGGCAAGGGTACTCAGGACGTGGCTCCGGTTGGACCAGAGACTGAGGAAGTACAAGTGGAAGGAGTGGAAGCGAGCCCTCCTGCCATAGATGATGCAGTGGTACGCCCTAAAGTAGTTGAGTCCAGTCAGGTGGACCAGTCAGGCATCGATATGGGTCCCCAGGGGATGACCACTGGTGGAACCACCCTAATGACAACTAGTGGAAACGCCCTGACTGGCGAGTGGTGGCGTAGCCCTGCCAGATGGACATGGACTGGGTCCTAAAGAGGGAGACTGAGGCCCGTACCAATGGCGAGAGCAGCGTGTAACAGAAGAGGGAAGAGGTGGTACAAGCCCTGATACCTTCCTATAAACAGTTAAGGGATACCACTGCAGTCATAAGACCTATGGAAGACCTGGTACATAATTTGCGAAGCGCAGTCATAGCGGATCAATGGATAGTAGGCCATCCCGATGTCTTAACCTGGAGGGATGGGTTAGCTTGGAAGGGAAGTAAATATATGTCCCACAGTCTCTAAGGGTGGAGGTGCTTCGGAGAGGCCATGACGTGAAGGTAGCTGGTCATTATGGGTTCCTGAAAACTCTACACCTGCTAAAAAGGCAATTTTGGTGGCCAGGAATGAAGAAAGACATAGAAACATATGTCCGGGAGTGCTCTATTTGCACAACTACAAAACCCTGAGTGGGAAAACCAGTCGGTCTGCTACAACAGGTCTCTGACCCATCTCGACCATGGGAAGAAATTGGAATGGTTTTTATAGTGGATTTGCCAACGAGTCATGGGAATACCGTCATATGGACAGTAATAGATTTATTCTCCAAACAAGCACATTTTATACCCTGTA